TTAATGATAATTAGCTGCACATTATATATATGTGTCACACTAGTTCCTTTTGATGGTCTCTATGTGCAAATTTATGTACGCAAATATTAAGTGACATAAATTATATAATTTTATGTCACATATAATTGATGTCACTTAATATTTGTGTAAATAAGTCTGCACATAGAGACCATCAAAAGGAACTAGTGTGACACATATATATAATGCGCCACTAATTATCACTAATATTAGGAGTGGTACTTCTTCGAAACTCTCTACAGTCCATTTCACATTATTTCCTATGGGTCACCGTTCACATCTGTCCAATTTCAACTGGTGAGGTTTTTTTGGAAAGGGTCAGGGACTTTTTTTTTTTTTTCTCGCAGCAGGCTGCATTTTTGGTTCCATAGACTTCAAAGGAATGCAGCAAATATATCTACCGTATTTTCCGACGACTTTTTACCCCTTGAAAATCTTCTCAAAAGTCGGGGGTCGTCTTATACACCGGTATACGGCATACTGACACTTTTTAGGGGGGGGGGGGCGCGGTGCCGCCGCCGCCCCCCCCCCCTTCCAACGGAAGGGGACACTAAGTACAGGGGTGGGCAGGGGCTGTTTCTTACCTGGCTCCGGTCCCACGACGATCTGGTCCAGGAAGCGCGGCTGCTCCTTCAGTTCGGCCACTGGATGTTCGTGCGGCTGCTCGGCTCCACCTCCTCATCGGTGATTGGCCGCCAGAACTGTAGCTCAGGAAAGGCACACAGGCGGCCAATCACCAGTGAGGGGGCGGAGCCGAGCGCCCCCCGCAAAAATCGAGTGCAGGAGCAGCAGGTAAGTGTTCAGTGTAGAGGTGCTGCTGCAACCACATATGCTGGCTGCAGCAGCACCATACTAGAACAGGGTCAGCAAGTGTAATTGGTGTCAGTGGGAGGAATAGTGCCCCATCATTGGTGTCACTGATACCAATGATGGAGCACTATTCCTCCCACTGACACCAATGATGGGGCACTATTCCTCCCACTGACACCAACGATGGGGCACTATTCCTCCCCCCCACTGACACCAACGATGGGGCACTATTCCCCCCCCCACTGACACCAATGATGGGGCACTATTCCACCCCCCACTGACACCAATGATGGGACACCATTCCTCCCACTGACACCAATGTTGGGACACTATTCCTCCCACTGACACCAATGATGGGGCACTATTCCTCCCACTGATACCAATGATGGGGCACTATTCCTCCCACTGATACCAATGATGGGCACTATTCCTCCCACTGATACCAATGATGGGGCACTATTCCTCCCACTGATACCAATGATGGGGCACTATTCCTCCCACTGATACCAATGATGGGGCACTATTCCTTCCACTGATATCAATGATGGGGCACTATTCCTCCTCCAACTGATACCAATGATGGGGCACTATTCCTCCCACTGATACCAATGATGGGGCACTATTCCTGCCACTGATACCAATGATGGGGCACTATTCCTCCCACTGATACCAATGATGGGGCACTATTCCTCCCACTGATACCAATGATGGGGCACTATTCCTGCCACTGATACCAATGATGGGGCACCTATTCCCCCCACTGATACTAATGATGGGGCACTATTCCTGCCACTAATGCCAATGATGGGGCACTATTCCTCCCACTGACACCAATGATGGGGCACTATTCCTCACGCTGATACCAATGATGGGGCACTATTCCTCCCACTGATACCAATGATGGGGCACTATTCCTCCCACTGATACCAATGATGGGGCACTATTCCTCCCACTGACACCGATGATGGGGCACTATTCCTCCCACTGGTGTGCACTGGAAGAGGGGTAGTCTTATACGGCGAGTATAGCCCAAACACTACATTTTAGCAGGAAAAGGGGGTCGTCTTATACGCCGGCAAATACGGTAACAAAACCACAACCAACTAAAAGTGCAATATCCCACAAACCCAATGCAGAAACACCTCCCCCAAAAGGATGAAAATCTAGGTAAAGGCAATAGGTCGCTATATAAGTAAATAGTCAGCGTCCAACCAAAATAAATAAATAATAGGAATCCTTCAAAGTTTTCTGTGTACCCTGAGGAGGTCTTCTTTAAATCGACCAATTCTTAGTGATCCTTAAATCTCCAAAATTCCTCAAAGCCATACGTCTTCTTCTACCCTTAGTACCTCAACAAAATAAACTAAACATTGTGCATTATCCTTAAACATAATAAAAATGGTGTGTGTGCTTCCAAATATTCACACAACCCGTGACCAGTAATCACAAATACGTCCAGTGATTGCAGTTAATCCCAACCAAGCAGGATCTTTATATAATCAACATTTCTCCATGTGGTGTGAGTAAGTGCCACGCCACACAGCAAAATGAGTGATCCAAGTGCAATCAAATCAGGTGAAATGTGTCAATGTACCTTACCAGATCGACAGGAGGTGCAGGCTTTATTATAAACCAACTCTCACTCCCTCGGCCTCCGAGACTCCGCTCTCTCCTGGCTCTCATCCTACCTGTCACAACGCTCTTTCAGAGTTACCTACAACGCTACCACCTCCCCCTCACTCCCCCTCTCTGTTGGGGTCCCTCAAGGCTCCGTCCTCGGGCCCCTTCTCTTCTCCATCTACACCTCCTCCCTTGGCCAACTCATACACTCTCACGGCTTCAACTACAACCTCTATGCCAACGACACACAAATCTATCTCTCAACCCCTTGCCTCACCCCCTCAGTCTCCACCCGAATCACAAACCTACTGACGACATATCAGACTGGATGTCGCTCCACTTCCTTAAACTTAACCTCTCCAAAACCGAGCTCCTAGTCTTCCCCCCCCAGCCCGGACACCACCCCCCACTGACTTCTCCATCACGTCCAACAATGCCACTATCAGAGTACTTGGTGTCATTCTGGACTCCAACCTATCCTTCCAACCCCAAGTCCAATCTTTAACAAACTCATGCAGACTCCACCTCCACAACATCGCCAAAATCTGCACGTTCCTAACCCCAGAAACCACTAAACAGCTCATCCACTCCCTCATCATATCACGACGCGATTACTGCAACTCCCTCCTCACTGGCCTGCCTCGCCGCTGGCTATCCCCGCTTCAGTCATCCTGAACACGGCGGCCAGACTCATCCACCTTACCAACCGCTCCGTTTCCGCCACCCCCCTCTGCCAATCCCTCCACTGCTTCCGATTGCACAACGGATCAAATTCAAAATCCTAACGCTAACGTACAAGGCTGTCCACCACACTGCCCCAAGTTACATCACCGACCTGGTATCCAGGTACCACTCAACACCCACACTCCGCTCCTCACAAGACCTCCTTCTCTCTAGTTCCCTGGTCTCCTCCTCCCATGCCCGCCTCCAGGATTTCTCCAGGGTGTCTCTCATCCTCTGAAACTCCCTACCCCAACCCATCAGACTAACCTACTCTCCTCTCCTTTAGGCGCACCCTGAAAACCCATCTCTTCAGGGAAGCCTACCCCACCCCCTGCTAATTTCAGACCTCCTCCACTCCTACCACTCCATCCCCCACAGCTATCTCCCCCTGTACCACCATCCCCTCCCTCCTAGATTGTAAGCTAGAAAGAGCAGGGCCCTCGAACCCCTCGTGTTTTGCATTGTATTGGTTTTCGTTCTGTCACATGTTCTGTCTCCCTTTGTAATGTACAGCGCTGAGCGAACTGTTGGCGCTATAAATACTGTATAATAATAATAATAACTCTCTTACTCCAGAATCCTTCTTATACTATGTAGATAACCCTAATCTATTATTCTATCCCACTTTCATCTGCTTCTTATCTTTTATTGTGTTAATGACATCCACAATCAATTTGTAAAACAAGAGTTTTACAAATCTTTTGTAACCTATTTGTCTTGGACTCTAGTGGAGTAGGGTGTCCTGGCCTCATCTCGGGTGGAAATGAGTGGGGAGGTTGGTAATTGCAGCCTCCAAAATCACTTTAACATAATCAAAAAAAGTTAAAACATGTAGTCTAGAAAAGAATATAAACTGACAAGCAACACTGAAAAATACAAAAAAAACCTTCAGTTTTTTATTTTTTTGCTAAACAAACCAAAAATAACTGAACATTTTGAAAAAAAAGTTTTTTTCTTAGTTTCTGTTATAAAATTTTGTAAAGAAGTACTGTATTTTTCGCTCCATAAGACGCACCTGACCATAACATGCACCTAGAGGAAAACAGGAAAAATATATTTTTAACTAATGGACTGCAGACAAAGTACAGGAGATGACCAAAGATTGCGGACAGAGTACAGATGACCAGAGACTGTGGACATAGTACAGGGGATGACCAGAGACTGCAGACATAGTACAGGGGATGACCAGAGATTGCGGACAGAGTACAGGAGATGACCAGAGACTGTGGACATAGTACAGGAGATGACCAGAGACTGCAGACATAGTACAGGGGATGACCAGAGACTGCAGACATAGTACAGGGGATGACCAGAGATTGCGCACACAGTACAGGAGATGACCAGAGACTGCGGACACAGTACAGGAGATGACCAGAGATTGCGCACACAGTACAGGAGATGACCAGAGACTGCGGACACAGTACAGGAGATGACCAGAGACAGGAGATGCGGACATAGTACAGGAGATGGCCAGAGACTGCAGACACAGTACAGGAGATGAGCAGAGACTGCGGACATAGTACAGGAGATGACCAGAGACTGCAGACACAGTACAGGAGATGAGCAGAGACTGCGGACACAGTACAGGAGATGACCAGAGACTGCGGACACAGTACAGGAGATGACCAGAGACTGCAGACATAGTACAGATGACCAGAGACTGCAGACATATTACAGAAGACCGGAGACTGCAGACACAGTACAAGAGATGACCAGAGACTGCGGACATAGTACAGGAGGAGATGACCAGAGACTGCAGACATAATACAGAAGACCAGAGATTGCTGACATAGTACAGGAGATGACCAGAGACTGCGGACACAGTACAGGAGATGACCAGAGACTGCGGACATAGTACAGGAGATGACCAGAGACTGCTGACATAGTACAGGAGATGACCAGGAGAGACTGCGGACAGAGTACAGGAGATGACCAGAAACTGCGGACAGAGTACAGGAGATAACCAGAGACTGCTGACATAGTACAGGAGATGACCAGAGACTGCGGACAGAGTACAGGAGATGACCAGAAACTGCGGACAGAGTACAGGAGATGACCAGAGACTGCAGACAGAGTACAGGAGATGACCAGAGACTGCGGACAGAGTACAGGAGATGACCAGAGACTGCGGACAGAGTACAGGAGATGACCAGAGACTGCGGACAGAGTACAGGAGATGACCAGAGACTGTGGACATAGTACAGGAGATGAGCAGAGACTGCGGACATACTGCAGGGGATGCAGAGACTGCAGACACAGTACAGGAGATGACCAGAGACTGCGGACACAGTACAGGAGATGACCAGAGACTGCGGACAGAGTACAGGAGATGACCAGAGACTGCAGACAGCACAGGAGATGACCAGAGACTGCGGACAGAGTACAGGAGATGACCAGAGACTGCGGACCTTTGGGGAGGAGGAGGGGGGCGGGTACCCGAATTTGATAGGTACCTGCTCCCACTTCTGTGGAGTTGTCCTTTCCCCTCCCTCCCTGTAATGTTCTGGGACAGGTGCCAGAAGATTACAGGGCCATTCACAAAGCATGGCGCTTCTCACGCATGCACAGTGGGCACCCGGCTGTGAATCTGCAAGCTGTGCCCATGCCGGCGCCGGGGAGAGAAGACTGAGGACACTGCTGGACCGAGGAACAGGTAGGACCGCTGGAGGTCTGCAGAGAAGAGCCAAGCGGCTGGCTCGGTATTCTAACATGGGAGGAATACCGAGCCGGCCGCTCCATATTCGCTCCATAAGACGAACAGACATTTTCCCCCATTTTTTGGGGGGAAAAAGTGCATCTTATGAAGCGAAAAATACGGTTAATTTTTCTCCTTCACTGATGTGCACTAATGAGGTTGCAGAGATTGGCACTGATAGGCGGCACTGATAAGGAGGCACTGATAGGTGGAATTGATAGGCATCACCTGTGGACATTGACAGGCATCACCTGTGGACATTGACAGGCATCACTGATTGCACTGAAAGGCAGCACTCATACATGGCACTGATAGGCGGCACTGATGGGCAGCACTGATATTACTGGCACTAATAGGTGGCACTGATTGGCAGCACTGATAGCTGACACTGTCTGGCACTGAAAGGCAGCTCTGATGGGCACTTATATGTGGCATTGATGTGCAGTGATGGGCACTTTGTATGTGGCATTGATGGGCACTAACAGGTTGCACTGATAGGGCTACACTGATTATCAGTGCCCTGGTGATCAGTGTAGATGTCCCCTCTGAGGAATGCCGATTACCGGCTCTCCTCTCCTCACACGCTGTCAGTGTGAGGAGAGAAATGCCAATAACCGGCATTTCCTATTTACATGTGAACAGCTGTGATTGGACGCAGCTGATCACATGACAGAGCTGACATCAACGGCTCTTTACAGTGATTGGTGATCCACTGTGTCCCAGGGACACAATGCACCACCGATTGCTGTACGCCCCTGAGGGCACGCATGCGTAGTTAGAGTGGGAGGATGTCATATGACGTTCTCCCAGAACGAGAGAGCCACTGCCCACCTGCCGCCCGCCCGCCCGTCCATCATTTCCTTCTATGGCGGCTGGGAGGCGGTTAAAGGCGTGTAAAAAACAGGCTTAAATGAAAAATTAATTTCTGCTCTTTTCTTATACTATGGCATGTTTTGCAGTTATATTCCTGATATATGGTCTGATATATCAGCTCTGAATATGAATACCCTTTATATGGGTGTCTATGTCTTTTTCTTATGTGTATTTTGGTTGGGTATGTTATTATGTATATTTTTGGTGTGGTTTGACACTAGACAAAGCTGACAGTTGGTATTTGGTTATTACTGATTTCACAAATTTTATTTAGATTTTTCTTTTTTTTTTATATTATTAATTAATTTATATATATATATATATATATATATATTTTTTTTTTTTTTTTTTACAACCCCCCCCCCCCCCCACACACACACACACACACACTTTTGCTATTGTCATATTTTTTTTCTGTTGCTGGTTCTATGTAAATTAAGATGTTATTTGGATTCTTTTTTTATTAATTCTAGTGTTGCATCTTGAGCGTGTATCCTGAGGAAGCAAATGCAGCGAAATGCGTCAATCCTATACGCCTATTGTTTGTTATTATTATTATTATTACATCGAGTTTATATAGCGCCAAAGGATTTGCTCAGCGCTGTACAATAGGGGGGACAATACATGAAACAGTACAGCATAAACAAACAGCACACGAGGGTTAGAGGGCCCTACTCTTTTGAGCTTACAATCTAGGAGGGAGGGGGTAGTGGTACAGGAGGAAGTGGCTGTGGGGGATGGGGTGGTAGAAAGGAGAACGGCAGTTAGGTGAGGGTGGTGTAGGCTTCCCTGAAGAGGTGGGTTTTCAGGGAGCGCCTGAAGGTGAGGAGGGAAGGTGAGAGTCTGATGGATTGGGGTAGTGAGTTCCAAAGGATGGGGGAGGACCTGGAGAAGTCTTGCAGACATGCGTGGGGGGAGGAGACCAGGGGGCAAGATAGAAGGAGGTCCTGTGAAATGGTTAAGGACATTGATTGCCATCATCACAGACATATCAGTTGTAGGATCTATGAGATCAGTCATTGTGCTGGAGGAGTGTGAATTCCCTCAATTTCTATTGATAGATTCTATACATCCTTTCCCCCCTCCCCCCCATGTGATATTTTCTTACAGTGATACATTGTAATAATTACACTTTATATAAGTGATACAGTGAACTACTGATCTTGTAATTCAGGCTAAGCTCACACCATAGCGGGTTTGCGCGGACACATCAGCCATTCTTTTAAATGGGCTGCTGTGCCTACGTTTTCCACAAAAATGAGGTTCTTGCTTCATTTTCAAAAACCAGCTGCAGGGAAATCGCATGGCGCTTTCCCACACTGAAGTGAAATATATTTCCAATATATTTAGAGAAAAAATTATATATGTGAGATATATTTACAATATATTGGCCTACGGTAATATATTTTAACATCTGTTATAAAAAAAAATTTAAATATATTTTCTAAAGGCATATATATTTAAAAATATATATTTTTTAAAAATATTTTCTTCAGATTTTTTTTAACATATAAAAAGTCATTTTAACATATATTTGTAAATGCATTCCAAAAAATGTAGACTAAATGTATGTTCAAAAGACATATTTGAAAATGTATTTTTAAAATATATAAAACGCAATTCAACTATAAATATATATATTTTGAATATGGCCAAAACTGTAGTATTTCAAATATATGTCAATATATTTGGGAAGAATATTTTTAAAATATATTTTTCTTCCACGTGGGTTTGCACCCGCCACAGTGTGAACATAGCCATAGTAATTCTTTAGAAGGGCGATATGTGATATTACTGTTTGGTTGAAGTGCTGACATGATGTCACAGTGGCTTAATGGTTAGCATGTCTGCCTTACAGTAAATGGGTCATGGGCAGGAGCGGACTGACAACTCATGGGGCCCCCGGGGCAATAGGGGATAATGGGGCCCCTGTGTCCTTGCCCAAACTCAAGCCTATGAAAAAGGTACCAGGGGCATCTCATGGGGCCCCCTACTGACCCCGGGCCCCCGGGCAGTGCCCGAGTTTCCAAATGGTGAGTCCGCCCCTGCTCATGGGTTCAATTCCCGACCACGGCACCTCACAAACTTAAAAAAAATTGTACGCTGGTGCTAGACCGTGGTATTCATTGTTTTTATGTAAACTGTCTATTTTAACTGGATGGGTTAATAAATATTATATTTTTTTTATATTCACAAATTAGTAGTGCAGCTCAACTCTCTAAATTAATAATTGTTAGAAAACATAAATACTCCTGTGAAAAACATATACAAGTGATAGACTAAAGAGTCCATAAACAATCCCCTCGGTGACGTGTATCACTTCTGTGAATATCTTCTTCTCTAGTAATATTCAGTGATCCTCCACCACACCAGGAGAAAAACCTGCTCACCTCAAGAAAAGAAAATATGCGCTCATCTGGGTGTACTCAACTCCTCAGTCGCGGGGACATATCTTCTTATCTCCTCTTGCCTTCCACTCACTCTGACATCGGCCAAAATTGATCTCATGCAACAGGAAGATTGAAACATAGTTCTCTCTGTATAACACTTGATTGTATCCCCCACTAATATAACACAGATATAGAAGCATAAAATGTGTATCCACATCCAGCTCACGATATTGGCAGCGTGGTAACAGTACCAGCTCCTCCTTCCTAGACACGTTGCGCCCCCTCTCAGGGCTTCCTCAGTAGGTGGAGAGCTGTTCTAACACAACCTTTTTACAGCCGCACATTCCCCCAACTTGTGTCCAATTGGTCATGGAGCTTGTAGCTCTCCCCATTGTGTCTTTTCCCCTATGTTAGCATTGTGTCCACAGTAGCATTGCGTAGACAGAGCAGAGTAGGACTGGCCATAGAGGGATTACTTTGACGCAGTTGGCCGACTTAAGCATGTATTGCAATATGTGTGAGCTAAATATCCCTATTTATTGCAGAGTCTGCTTGAAAGGGTATATACCGGTGTGCAGGGGGGCCTCAGAATTTCAATTGGTCATGGAGACACAGAAAGTGAGTCATCATCTTTGGTCAAAAGTGCCAATACTGGCCTCTTCTCCACCCGTGGACTGCACACGCACCATCGGAAGTACACCGGCGGCCATCTTAATGTTGGGGTAATAGGAGGATTCCACAGTGCTCTGAAGTAAAGGCACAGCTACGCTGTTCCTTCAGAGCTCATGCGTCGGCTGTCAAAAGGAGCGAATATCTTCTAAACAGTGCGCATGCACGGAGATATACGTTTTACCTACAGGTAAGCATTATTATAAGATTACCTGTAGGTAATAATACAAATCCGGAGATTACTTCCACTTTAACCACTTCCAGACCGGACACTTTTACCCCCTTCCTGACCAGGGCAATTTTCAGCTTTCAGCGCTATCACACTTTGAATGGCAATTGCGCGGTCATGCAACACTGTACCCAAATGAATTTTTTACCATTTTTTTGAGACAGATAAAGCTTTATTTTGGTGGCATTTATTCACCGCTGGGATTTTTATTTTTTTTGCTATGTAAATGAAAAAGTCCAAAACTTTTGAAAAAAAGTGTTTTTTTTTATAAAATTTTGCAAATAAATAATATTTAATCATAAATCTTTGCCAAAATTTATTCCGTTATCTTTTTAGTAAAAAAAAAAATTCAAATTAGTTTATAACCAAAAATCATAATTTTTAAACATTTTTTTTAACATTTTTATATTATTATTTTTTATTATTATTTTTTATTATTATTTTTTTTTTTTACATACTGTCACCCTAGCAGTACAGTGTCACCATGGTAACACTGTACTACTTGTGGGGGGTGATGAAGATTTTTTTTTTTTTTTACACATTGCTTTTACACTCATATAGGCTGTAAAAGCAATCATTTCTCTTTCTCTGTGTGCATTCTTGCACTCATTAAGAAGTACTGAGTGAGCTGTGATTGGTCACAGCTTGTCACATGGTACAAGCCTGTTGTGAATAGCCCTGTACCATGTGATCTCTGTGATCATTCACAGATTTCACACGTAGTAAGCAATGATGTCACAAGTGACATCTTGCTTACTACTTTGCATGTGATCACTGATTGGCCAATCAGTGATCACATGATCGGGACCTCGTACAGAGGTCCCGTCTGATGATTGGGTGTTTCACTGTGTCCGGAGGACACAGCGGGCACCAGATCGCGTGTGCTGCGCGCTCCCGAGAGAGAGCGCGCACAAGCAGGGTGTGGGGAGGCCATTTATAAACGGCCACCTGACCCTGCACTGCCACTGTCCGGCCGTTTATATGCAACGGCTGGTCAGGAAGTGGTTAAAGCCCAACTTAACCCACAGTCTAAATCCGTTAAATACATTCCAGGTGCATCAAAATAAAAGGTGTTCACTATTTTACAAAGAGTAGAAAAAGCTGACTTCGGCCAGGTGTAAAGGGACCCCTTCCTCTCTGTGTGTAAGTAGTGATCTCTTTGAAGAGGTCTGATTCCTCCTGGAGAGCTACAGCTTTGCTGATTGCAGAGCTACAATATAGGTCTGACTTAGTGGGGGGGCGTGTTGGACCTCTGCAATGAGACCTCTGCTTCCCCACAGAGCTAGCAGGGGTCAGGCTTTTCTGTAGCTCCTTTATGAAAAAAAATAATAATAATTGTAAAAGGTATTGAAGCTATTTGTTTTGATGCACCTGGAATATGAGTAGCTGATTTAAACTGATGGTTTAGTTGTGGCTTAAGGCCCAACCCTAGGAAAAGTAACAAACCTCCCTTGCCAGCAATGGAAGACCTAAGTGCTAACTTAAATCTTGGGCATTGGTCTCCAAACTGCAGCCCTTAGGTATAAATGTGGCCCTTTGCTTACCTATATCTGGACCTTGGGGCACTGTTTCTCCCACTGATATGAGGCACTATTCCTTCCACTATCACCAACGATTAGTCACCATTCCTTTCACTGACACCAACATTGGGGAACTATTTTTTCTATGGACACCAATGATGGGGCACTATTCCTTCTACTGACAATGATGAGGCATAATTCCTCCTGCTAATACCAATGATGGGGCATTATTCCTCCTTCTATTGACCATGTGTGCTAATGTTTTCTTCCACTGACCACCAAGCCTGAGACATGGTCTGCTCTCACTGATGCTGGGGCATTTTTTATTCTTACTTGCCACAGTTCAACCCCTTAAAGTCTGAAGGACAGTAAAATGGCCTTTTTGTTAAGAACATTTGAAGACCCTTGATCTAAGGAATGGAAAAAGCAGTTTTACTTACCCATTTGATAGAAGATGGCACTCTCCTATACTCCTCCATGCTCCATTGGTGGACTGTTCCACCATCTTCATGCTCAGTTCAGGGCTGTAGACCCTGCAGCAGGGGCGGACTGACAACTCATGGGGCCCCCGGGCAATGGGGGATCATGGAGCCCCTGTGCCCTTGCCCAAACTCAAAAAAGCCTATGAAAAAGGTACCAGGAGCATCTCATGGGGCCCCCTACTGACCCCGGGCCCTCGGGCAGTGCCCGAGTTTCCAAATGGTCAGTCCGCCCCTGCCCTGCAGTAGTCTTAGTGATGTCATGGGCATCCGACTGCCAGGGCATGGGGGGGGGAGAAGAGGCTGTAGGGTCTGGTCTTTCAGCATGAATGAGCCTACAAGAGTAGAGGATCAAGTAAAAGGGCTTATCCCGGTCCCCTTGATGTAAACAAGCATTGAGTTTTAAGTTAAATTTTCATGTATAATAATGGCAGGTTCCCTTTAACTTGTTGCCGACCGCAGATAGCCGAATGACGGCTGCACTGCGGCCGGCCAATTCTGAGTGGACGTCATATGACGTCCCCCCAGAACGCACTCTCCTGCGCGCCCCAGGGGGCACGCACCCGGCGATCTCCGTGATCGCTGTGTCCTACGGACACAGCTGATCACGTGATGTGGTAAAAGGCCAATCACAGCGGCCTTTTACCACCTGATCAGCGGTGTCCAATGACACGCTGATCAGAGGGAAATGCAAGTGCCGTTTCTCGGCTGCACTTTCCTCACGCTGTCAGATCGTGAGGAAAGTACTGCCGAGACCCGGCAGTTGTCACAGCGGGGATCGGCACCGATCATCAGGGCACTGATGATCAGTGCCCTGATGATCGGTGCCCAGCAGTGCCATCCGCAAGTTCCGCCCACCTGTGCCCAGCAGTGCGCCCACTAGCTCCGCCCACCTGTGCCCAGCAGATCACCCACCTGTGCCCAGCAGTGCACCCACCTGTGCCCAGCAGTGCACCCACCTGTGCCACTCTGCAATGTCACCTACCTGTGCCCAGAAGTGCCACCCACCAGTGCTGCCCACCAGTGCCACCCACCAGTGCAGCCCAGCAGTGCTGCCAGTCAGTGCCACCAGACAGTGCCCAGCGGTTGTGCCAGTCAGTGCCGCCAGTCAGTGCCCAGCAGTGATGCCAGTCAGTGCCGTCTATCAGTACCCATCATCAGTGTCACCTATCAGTGCCGCCTATCAGTGCTGCATATTAGTGCCGCCTATCCGTGACACCTCATTAGTGCTGTCTATCAGTGCCGCCTATCCGTGCCACCTCATTAGTACTGCCTATCAGTGCCCTTTAGTGCTGCCTATCAGTGCCCATCAGTGCTGCCTCATCAACGCACATCAGTGAAGGAGAAAAATTACCTGTTTGAAAAATTTTATAATAGAATCAAAGAAACTTTTTTTTTTTTTTCAAATTTTTGGCAATTTTTTATTTATAGAGCAAAAAGTAAAGTGCCCAGCGGCGATTAAATACCACCAAAAGAAAGTTCTATTTGTGAGAAAAAAAATGATCAAAATTTCATATGGGTACAATGTTGCATGACCGCGCAATTGTCAATCAAAGTGCGGCAGCGCTGAAAGCTGAAAATTGGCCTGGTAAATAAGGGGGTATAAGTGCCTGGTAGGCAAGGGGTTAAGGTGAAGTGATCAGACTGTGAACATTCAAGTGTTTACATAATATTAGCAAGCTGTACATTACCTTTAAAATGAGCCCTCCCAAACCTCTTTAACTGTAGGCACTGGAGAGCATTTCATCCCCACAATTTACAGCAGGAGATAAAAAAATAAAAAAGCAGCTTTTAATGTAATATTTCCCATTACTCCGGAGCTGGCCATACAGTATTTCATTTCCCTCACTAAATGTGCTCAGTCTACTGAACTAAATGATGAAACACAAATGATGCAGCGCTACCACCATAAAAATTCTTCACACATAAATGAATAAGTGAAACAGTGCAAAATTAGTGACACAAATACACAATATTAAATAGTGCCAAAAAACTCGTAAATAATCACATGTGACAAGTGTCAATATGAGGTCCTAAAAGGAGCAAATAACATACAGTGGGGATCGAAAGTTTGGGCACCCCAGCTAAAAATTTGTATTAATGTGCATAAAGAAGCCAAAGAAAGATGGAAAAATCTCCAAAAGGCATCAAATTACAGATTAGACATTCTTATAATATGTCAACAAAAGTTAGATTTTATTTCCATCATTTACACTTTTAAAATAACAGAAAACAAAAAAATGGCGTCTGCAAAAGTTTGGGCACCCTGCAGAATGTATAGCATGCACTGCCCCCTTTTCCAAGCTGAGACCTGCCAGTGTCATGGATTGTTCTCAATCATCGTCTGGGAAGACCAGGTGATGTCAATCTCAAAGGTTTGAAATGCCCAGACTCATCTGACCTGCCCCAACAATCAGCACCATGGGTTCTTCTAAGCAGTTGTCTAGAAAACTGAAACTGAAAATAGTTGACGCTCACAAAGCTGGAGAAGGCTATAAGAAGATTTTTTCAGATGTCAATATCCTCTGTTCGGAATGTAATTAAGAAATGGCAGTCATCAGGAACAGTGGAAGTTAAAGCAAGATCTGGAAGACCAAGAAAAATATCAGACAGAACAGCTCGCAGGATTGTGAGAAAAACAATTCAAAACCCACGTTTGACTGCACGATCCCTCCAGAAAGATCTGGCAGACACTGGAGTTCTGGTACACTATTCCACTATAAAGAGATACTTGTACAAATATGGTCTTCATGGAAGAGTCATCAGAAGAAAACCTCTTCTACGTCCTCACCACAAAAATCATCGTTTGAACTTTGCAAATGAACATATAGACAAGCCTGATGCATTTTGGAAACAAGTTCTGTGGACCGATGAGGTTAAAATTTAACTTTTTGGCCGGAATGAGCAAAGGTACGTTTGGAGAAGAAGGGGCACAGAATTTAATGAAAAGATCTCTGTCCAACTGTTAAGCATGGGGTTGGATCAATCATGCTTTGGGGTTGTGTTGCAGCCAGTGGCACAGGGAACATCTCACGAGTAGAAGGAAAAATGGATTCAATAAAATTTCAGCAAATTTTGGATGGTAATTTGATGCCATCTGTGAAAAAGCTGAAGTTAAAGAGAGGATGGCTTCTACAAATGGATAATGATCCTAAACACACCTCGAAATCCACGGGGGATTACATCAAGAGGCGTAAACTGAAGGTTTTGCCATGGCCTTCACAATCTCCTGACTTCAACATAATTGAAAATCTATGGATAGACCTTAAAAGAGCAGTGCGTGACAGACAGCCCAGAAATCTCAAAGAACTGGAAGACTTTTGTAAGGAAGAATGGGCAAAGATACCTCAAACAAGAATTGAAAGACTCTTGGCTGGCTACAAAAAGCGTTTACAAGCTGATACTTGCCAAAGGGGGCAGTACAAGATATTAACTCTGCAGGGTGCCCAAACTTTTGCAGATTTTTCCATCTTTCCTTGGCTTCTTTATGCACATTAATACAAATTTTTAGCTGGGGTGCCCAAACGTTCGATCCCCACTGTATGTTATTTGCTCCTTTTAGGACCTCGTATTGACACTTGTCACATGTGATTATTTATGAGTTTTTTGGCACTATTTAATATTGTGTATTTGTGTCACTAATTTTGCACTGTTTCTCTTATTCATTTATGTGTGAAGAATTTTTATGGTAGTAGCGCTGCATCATTTGTGTTTCATTTATATTTTTTGTCTATGGGTATATGACTGTATGTAGCAGCTTTACCTTTGTTGGTAGGTATTAGTTTTTAGGTAGGAGCTCAGGAGTTTGTCACATTGATGAACTAAATGATGGCCGTCATCGTTTAACCCACTTTCTCTGAGCCCAGACAGGGGTGGACTGACAACTCTTGGGGCCCCCGGGCAATAGGTGATCATGGGGCCCCTGTGTCCTTGCCCACACTCAAAGCACACCCAAAAAAAGCCTATAAAAGGTATCGGGGGCATTTCATGAGGCCCCCTACTGACCCCGGGCCCTCGGGCAGTGCCCGAGTGCTCGAATGGTCAGTCCGCCCCTGGCCCAGACCGTCTTGGTCCTGCTCCAAGCCTGTGCCTGAATAGTGAAGGAGAAGAAGTGGACTTATAACCCGATTGCATAGTGGCTCATGCAAACCCTCACAGCAATGCACATAACTAGCATACGTCAATGCATCTGCTCTGATTTGTGTGCTGTGGTGTAAATGAGCCCTGATTCAGTCTCAAAAATCCTCCGAGATCATAACAAAGACGCAAGTTGGGGTTCAGTCGGTTTGTAATAGCTTACATTAGAGGACTGGCAGGCCGGCAAGATCTGTTCTCCATAGAAACAAAACTGATAAAAAAAACCTATAGCTAAGGAGGTAAATGCGGGCAGCTTTCAAGTCAGGGCCTGGACTGAGCGAAGTATAAGGGAGGGCCAGCATGACTGGGGCGTGCAGACGAGGCGGAGAGTGTAATTTGGGTGGAGTATAGGCAAGGAAAAGGGGATGGGGGGTGGTTACTTACTTGATTGGTGTACGCAGCATTGTGGGTGGTCTTGCAGGTTTTGAATTGGGGGTTTGTGTCTTGTCGGAGTCAGTCGGAGCTTGTGCCATCACGGAGGTGGTTTCTTCTTCTTTTGCTGGTACCTGCAACGGAAAAAAGCTAGGCCATGAGTGACTTAGACGGGATGCTATCCAATTGCGGGCGGCAGCTGAAGCCAATGGCTCAGGGTGGTTAAGGGAGAGGCTGTCGGACATGCTGCAAGGCCCCAGGCCCGCATCACCGGGCCCTTCTACTGGGCTCACACGTGCTCGGCGGTCTGTGCCTCTGGTGTGCTTTAGCCCAGAAGTGACAGCTCGGGTTCTGCGCCGTTCTGGGAGCCCCTTAGGGGACCCTCCAGCTCCGCCGGTGAAGCGTCGGCCTGCTTCTCCGGGGAGGGCTGGGAGGAATCCTTGTCGCTGGCGGACCCCTGGCGGGAGCACATCTACTACCACCCGCTCCCCAGCCAACTCACCTCTTATTCAGGACCATGCGGCTGGCCCTGCAGGCTCCGGGCCTGCAGCGGTGGCAGCCCGGCGTGGGAGGAGTGGCGGGCGGCCTTCAGAAGGGACTGGGTCAGCGTCCCCAAGGAGAAGAGGATCGGGCTCTCCAGGATCACGGCGGGCCCAGGAGGGTGCCGCCTCGTCACAGGCCGGGACCACGAGGTCGGGGCCATCTTTGAGTGCGGATCGAGCACGAAGTGGGCGGGGCTTAGCGGATCGGAGCTCTGGGCCGGCAGCCGGTGATGACATGGCCCCTGTGTTCGGCCCGGGCTTTGGAGCCGGGGATCCACACCTTCCTCACCGGCCTGCGGCTGCTGGGCTCCCCTCTGTCGCCCGGCGGGCCTCCCTGAAGTCGGCGGTGCGGAGCGCGGGGGTGGGCGGGGCCTAATGATGTCACTCCCGGGCGCCATCTGGGCTCGGGAGCTGGGAGGAGGCCTTCATCTGGGAATCAGCCTGTGGCTGCTGGGCGTGCCTCGGTGACCCAGCGAGCCTCTCGAGAGGGGGCGGGGGGTGCTGAGGTCACCCCTGTGCGCCGCATCTCTCCAGGAGCAGGAAAAGGTCCCCTGTCAGTTGGGGCTTCGGCTGCGTCCCAGCGAGCCCAGCGTGGGAGGAACGATCCGGCAGCTCTGGGCTCTGGTGCGGTGGGTGCTGCCAGCCGTTCAGTGTGCCGACTGGGCCCAGGAGCCGGGGAAGAGCCTGGAGCGAGGCCTGGTGCGGCCTGGGATCCGGTGGATGCGGAGAGGAGATCCGAAGGGGAGCTCAGCGGTTCCGAGGAAGATGCGGTCCCTTCATCACTGCCTGGATCTGGATTGGCGGCTGTGGGTCCCGGCGAACGACTGCAGCCTGGTGAGTTGAATTCAGGGGCTATTTTTTGTCTTTGTCTTCTTTGGCTTCTCTGTTTGAGGGTTTTCGGGACCTGGGGAGTGGCGTTTCTGTTTTGGCGGAGAGGGGGTTTGGGGCTTCAGAGCTTAACGTGGGGTCTTTGGGGGGTTCCCCGGGGGCTGATGGTGTTGTCAGTATGATGTTGTCCGGTTTCAGGGAGGTGTTGGCACGTTGTGAGGCGGGGTTGGTCGCTAGGACTTCGGCGCCACCTTTGGCTGCTTGGTCGGAGATGCAAGATGCGGCATCTGGGAGCGGTGTCGGCCCCAGGGGTGGTAGATACGAAGCTGCTGGGGTCCCCCCGCAGGTGATTACGGTGGCTGGGCCTCAGGTCTCTGGAGTCGCGGCTGCAGTGCGATTGGCGGCGGTGGGTTCTTTTAGCTCTGGTTCTGAGGCTCTGAGGGGGGAAGCGGCGGCGGATCACACTGGGGTTGATGGTGGAGATAAAGGGGTTACGGGGGGGTGTGATGGTGTGCGTTTGGCGGACGCTGCGAAATGCGAAGTTTATGTGTGCTTCGAGGGGCCCTTGGGGGCTCATCTGAAGCCAGAGGTGAAGGAGCGCATTTGGGGGGGCGAGTATGTGGAAATATTTTCTTTATTGCCGTTGGAGAAATTCAACTTAGATAAAGTTCGGCCAGATGAGAGTAAGAGGGAGGAGGAAGAAAAGCGGCGATATCGTTTGATTCCCCGCTCGTTCTCTAATTGGCTTCAGGCGTTTGCCATTTTGGCAAGCGTTATTGGAGAGAAGTCGCCTGAGCATTGTTCCCCACTTTTTTGTTACTTGGATGCCATAGGGGAAGCTCAGAGGGTTTATGGGGGCATCGCGTGGTTACGTTATGACGAGCAGTTTCGTCAGCGTATGGCGGTTAGGCCATCTTTGCGGTGGGACCATAAGGATATCGGGCTGTGGATGAAGCTCATGACTCCCGTGAGGACCACGGCTCATCCCTTTCAGGGGGGGGCCGGAAGTGCAGCTACAGTTGCGCAGCCGGCCGTGCTTAGAAAGGGCTACTGCTGGCAGTTTAATGAGGGATCGTGCAGGTTTGGATCCGGCTGCCGATTCCGTCATGAGTGCTCGGGTTGTGGGGGGGCCCATCCATTGTCCCGGTGTTTTAAGCATGGAAGGGGGAGAGGTGGTGACACTGGAAAAAGGGAAGTCGCCAGTGAGGGTAGGAAGGATGTTGCCGTTTTTAAAGCGGTACCCTGATCAGGCGGCGGCGACCCTGTTGCGGCGGGGTTTTTCGGAAGGTTTTTTGATCCCCTGTCTATTGGCGGTAGTTCCTCCAGCGGCGGATAATTTGAGGTCGGCGCGGTTGCATCCGGAGGTTATCAGGGCAAAAATTGACAAGGAGGTGTCCTTGGGCCGCATGGCTGGCCCGTTTGTGGACCCCCCTATGCCTAATTTGGTAATTTCGCCGCTGGGTGTTGTTCCCAAGAAAGAGCCTAATAAATATAGACTCATTCATCATCTGTCTCATCCGCGGGGGGGTTCGGTCAATGATGCTATTACCCAGGTTTGTGTTCTGTTTCCTACACTTCTTTCGACGCGGCGATTTCATGGGTGCGGCGGTTTGGTCGGGGTGCCCTGTTGGCAAAAACTGATATTGAGGCGGCGTTTCGCCTTTTGCCGGTGCATCCTAGTTGTCTCCGATTGCTGGGTTGCAAATGGGCGGGGTGCATATTTGTTGATCGTTGCTTGCCTATGGGCTGCGCCATTTCTTGTTCTCTATTTGAGACTTTTAGTTCTTTTCTTGAATGGGCGGTCAGGGATGTTTCTGGGCTCGCATCTGTCATCCATTATTTGGATGATTTTTTGTGTATTGGCCCTCCGGGTAGTTCCATCTGTGCATCGTTACTGAGCACGGTGGAACATGTGTTCGAGCATTTTGGCGTTCCTTTGGCTTCGGATAAGACGGTGGGTCCGACAACGGAATTGTGTTTTTTTGGGAATTATTGTCGATACGGAGGCCATGGAATGTCGTTTGCCTCAGGATAAATTGGAGGAGCTCCGGGGGTTGGTGAGTTCGGTGGGTCAGTGCAGGAAGATTCGGCTTCGGGAATTGCAGTCGTTACTAGGCAAGTTAAATTTCGCTTGCCGCATCATGCCCATGGGGCGTATATTTTCCAGGCGTTTGGCGGCTGCCACGGCTGGTGTGGCGGCCCCCGCATCACAGGGTTCGGCTGCGAGGTGAGCTACGGGATGATTTGGGGGTATGGAGGTCATTTCTCGATTCCTATAATGGAAGATCACTTTGGTTGGATGGGGTCGTGTCCAATTTTGATTTGGAACTCTTTACGGATGCGGCAGGCTCGGCCGGTTTTGGGGCCTATTTTCAGGGTCAGTGGTGTGCGGGTTCGTGGCCTTTGCAATGGCGGGAGGTGGGTCTGTTGCGCAATCTGACCTTACTGGAGCTTTTCCCAATCGTTTTAGCCGTTTCTTTGTGGGGTGCTGTTTTCCGGAATAAACGGATTCGTTTTCATTGTGATAATTTGAATGTGGTTCATGCCATTAACCGTGTTTCGGCCACGTCTAGGCCGGTGGTTCGTATGTTGCAGCGGTTGGTTTTGGACTGTTTAAGTCTCAATTGTTTTATTTCGGCTGTTCATGTTCCGGGTGTGGATAACTCAGTTGCTGATGCTCTATCTCGTTTTCAGTGGGACCGATTCCGTCGGTTGGCACCGGAAGTGGAGCAGCGCGGTATCGATTGTCCGGATCACTTGTGGAGCATTGCCTTGCCTCTTCAGCAGCCTTGATTCAGACATCAGTTTGTGCGTCCACTTGGGTTTTTCTATGAGAAGGTGTGGCGGGAATGGCTGGAGCTGGTGAGTGAGGTGGGGGGTGGTTTAGGGGTGGATGATGCCCTATGCCTCCTGCTTTATTTCATTGGTAGGAATTTTGAAAGGGGTGTTTCCGCAACTTTGATGTCTCGTAAGCTGGCGGGGTTGGCTTTTCGTTTAAAACTGGCGTCGGGTCGTGACATGACAAAGGATTTCCTTGTTCGGCAGGCTATGCGGGGGTACAGAAAAGGCCGTTCCATCCCTGATTCTAGACGGCCGGTTTCTTTTGAGGTTCTTCAAGTGGTGGTTGGCCAGTTGGATCGTATTTGTTCCTCGTTGTATGA